AGCAGGAATTAACGCATCAAGAAACCAATGGGCCCACAGGATGGGCGTTATTCTTTTATTGGCGTATATAGACAGTGTATTAGTCAGCTATTGCCTCCACTCCCCAGACTGCTTGTCTGCAACTATCCCACTCACCTATACACGACTGCTTATTACTGCTCTGTGTTTTAAATTAAGTACCAAAATTTTCAGAAAAAGTACTGCCTGCCCTTTCTTTTGTTCCCTGTGAAAAAACTGAAAGGTATTTTGTAACTTCTGTCTAAACTGCTACGAAAGGACAGCACATACAGTAATAATGGGTGCTTAAAATAAATTGCTTCCATCCCAAATGTTCATCCCTCTTCCACCAATTACCATATTTACTCAGTTCCCATTTCACTTGTTCACTTCCTACCAAGTCTTTTCAAGCCTTTAAAGTGAAAACTAGTGAAACTGACTGTTTAATGTAAGCATTTATTCAGTAAAAATAACTTTACTTTACAAAAAAACCCATGGAAGAAACAGAATGAGAACAAAAAAGTGAAGAAACAGAAGAGTGACCTCAAGGACAGCACGTTAAGGAGGAAAAGGAAAGGCAGACAAAGGAGGTAGAACCAGGATTCTCATTAGAGATCTTAGATGCCTTTTGATTGAAGTCTGCAAAACCCTACTGTTGCCATGCTAGACTACACATAAAACAGCAGCAGAGAAAAAAATTTTCTCTCTCTTGCTCCTTTAAGTTGTTGAGCAGTATTCAACATACAGAGTCTATTTTCTTGTTTCTTTTTAGTGGGGTCATTTCAGAAGTGCATGCTAGACATACTGTGTTTAATCGATACCATGATTTTTAAAAGCCTCTTCAGTTTGCCAAGCCAAAACCCACAGCGCAATGCCTTTGCAATTACTCTGTTGTTTTTGTAATGTGGAATCGAGAAATTGCTAGCAGAAATTCCTCTTTGCCTCACAGAAGCAATGCTGCATCACAGTATGAGTGACTTCCAGGAAAATCATTTGACCACTCCGACATCACAGATACAAGTGACTTCAACATCTAAACATGAAAAGTTTTGGTGGATACCTACTACAAACGTAGTTCACTATGTAATGATAAGAAACACACTTTGTTTTCTCTTGTGCCATTCAGATGAATAATCAGATGGAAGGGACAACACTTTCAATAAAATTATATTTTTTAGTTCAGTATACATAATATTGTGTTTGAACTTATTCACCTAGCCATCAGATGCCTCAATTCAAGCTTATCTAGTAACTTTCTGTTTAAAACACCTGTAATTTGCTTAAAATAAAATATTAAAAGTTTATGAATGTTTATGCTGCAAAAGTAACATTCCAAAGCTTACTACAAGTAAGAATTTCTTGAATATAAGCCAGAAAAAATAACTACTGCAGTTTAAATATCTAAAGAAACAACGGACTGAGAGATGCAGATGGTTTTTGCCACTCTGAAATTTAGTTTCTTATTCAAAATTACAACACTGATTTATGCTTACTAGTAATAAAGATGCAATAGCAGGAAAGCTCGGACCTCACACACCAAAGGAACCGATAACTACACAACGGACACTAATTGGATTGTAAATCCTCACTGACATAGACTCTTTCCAAATACACATTTAACTATAATGACATCTTAGTGAGGTCAGAGATGACCAAGTGTAAACTAGTTGACAGCTGAACTTAGCCTACAAATATTTAAATGTCTTGAGATGCCATTCCTTTCAGACATTTGAGGGTTTTATGAAGCAATCATTACCCCTTTCTTACAAAAATATGTGGCACACATACTCTTAGTGGCTAATGTACTGGAGTGAAAGAATGCAATTTATGGCAGAAAGTCTTCTGTTTCGCAATATAAATGCAACTCATGTTCTTTAAGTATCTTTGTGATGTACTGACTGATGTCAGTAAAATTATATTGTTACATTAAATAAATATATTTACTTAAACTGAGAAAAAGTCTGCCAAAAAGTTTTCAGGATTCTTTGAAGTGTAAGACCAGATCTTTGCCAATGAAGAATGCATCCATGTTTATGAACTGACTGAAACTTCTAGAATGAGCATTTCTTTAAATCTGAGGGCTGAGCAGTCAGAAAGCTGTGCAAGAAAATAGCATTTTAAAAAAATTTTAGGCTCTTTGACTTGAAAGTCTTTCCATGCCTGTGCAACTTAAAATGCAGTAACTGCATAATTTGATTAATAGAAAAGATGGAGAAATACCATGAATGCGTAGACGGTCACATTTATAGACTCCTATTTAGGTTACCTACCAGTAAAACCTTTTAAGAAGATCTCTGCATAAGGTCACTAAATGACATTTAGTCCTTGGGACATCCTTTTATCTGAGCAGAAGGCTGAAGATCACAACTGTTCTTCCATGCAAAGCATCCAATGCTGGTGCCAGGTCTACAGAGTAACGTTCCATGAAGAACAGATAGATTTACAAGAGCTGGCTCTCATGATCTCAGTTATGATAATAAACCTTAGGCAAATACGACTGCACTATAAACTTCCATAACCTTCTATCACGGGAATGATGCAGTATTTCTGTAGCTTTTCTTAATATTCTAAAGCTTTCCTCTTTCTAAATCCACATGGATAGCCAATACAGAAGCAGTCATAAATCCAAGAGCTATCAAAAGAGTAAAACTGCATCTGTTTTAATGAAAACATCACTTGAGACATGGGTTCAAACTTTCGTAAGACGACAAATTATTAAGCTGGTCATAAAGTCAAAAGGCAGCTATTGCATCATTAAGAAAACCTCAAGGGATGCAAACACAAGTAACTTACACTGCAATTAAGCTAACAGACAATGTTATAGCTATGATAAATGCTGACCTTGTGGAGCAAAAGAAAGAAAACATTCTCTTCTGCATTTAAGAGAGGCTCCCTAGGGAGCACCAATAAGGTGGCTTTGTATATCTCATGGAACCGTACTATATAAGTAATTTTATAATAAAGAAGTTTTTGGAAGGACTATATTCTGTTTTATGTTTTCTTTCCATACAACAAGCAGAAATTGCCATCATACTTCAACACAGGCAAGGCACAGGCACTTCACTGCAAATGTTCAAGGATGGTTTCTAGTCAGACACTCGGTGGAATGAATTTAGGACACCATAGTTCAAATCCAGTAGAAAAAAATCTACATTGTTTCTGGAACAGCAAACCTTGCAAACAGTCATGGTCCTAAAACACAAGCTTTCAGTGATTTAGGCTCTTTTTATTTGTTCTTTTTGACCTCTGAGTCAGAAAGTCAGGTGTGACCAGCAGTATTAAGTTGCTTTGCCATCCATTATGTAGAAGGAATGAACACTTGCCTTGACTGTAATACAGTCATCAGCTTAGATGTGACATATTCTTTGGAGAATGGAAGAACGGCGTAACGACCAATTCTTCAGTAAAGATAGAAATCTCTCCAAAACAGACAATACTTCATTTATCCTACAAATTAGCTTCCAACCTTCTTTATTAAAAAAAAGGTACCTGTCTTAGAATAATCTCAGATACTTTAGTCCTCTAGATTAGTTTGCAAACTTTTTTGTCCTCCTTTGCTACAAATGAATAGTGAAAAATGAGTGTTTGCCACCATGCACACAGAGTTATTGCCACCCTTCACTGCTGGACTGACCAAAGCCAGTTCTGAAATTTTTTTCTGAATTTTTATGGCAATGTCTGCACTGGACCAGCAGAAGCATTTCCCTAGTATATCCAAGCTCTGCACCTCAGCCAGGAAGTGCAAGATGAGGTCACTAATTCACTCTGTGAAAGAGTTCCAGTCTGCCCTTAAAACTGGGACTTGTTAAAACAGGTATCTTCTATCAGCTTCTCATCCTGTCCCATTCCCAAGCATGTCTCACTCTTCTACCCCCTCTTCTCCTGCAGACACACCTTGCCCGAGTAACGCTAGCTCAAGCCTCCTGCCGCCTGTCTTGTTCTGCCTTCACTTTGGGATCAACAATAAAGAGCATGAGAACATGTGGCAGAATATAAAGCACTTACTCCAAAATCTTTCTAAGATCATCTAAACTATTATTAGTAATTAAAAGCTGACTAAAATGAAATTAAATTTATAATTACTTTGTCTAAGAACGGTTCTGGGCAACAATTTATTGAGAAACCTGTCAAAACACCAACTTAATTATTTCCTGGTGTACTACGTACTAAATTTGGGAAGAAGCAGCAGTAGAGAACTCTTGCTTTTCTAACCTTGTTCAACAAACACTCATAGCAACAAGAAATTCAGGTAATCCAGTAACACACAACTTACAGAAGTTAATCACGAGAAACAGAAGTCACATGGAATAAATATATCTATCGACATGCCTGTTGAAAAGTTACACAGATGCAAAAAAACCCCCACACTTAATTCCCTTCTGACCTTGCCCAGTGGATGAAGGTGTCTGAAGAGGAGCACAGAGAATGTAGAGACTTTTATCCCCTCTTTATATAGCACCATATAAGAAAGTACGTGCTTACTCTGTTTAATAGATCGATTTCTTCCTTCAGCTTTCCAATTAGTTCCTCTTTGTCCTGTGTCATCTTCATTAATCTCACATTTTCCTGTCTCTCTTTTGCAAGTTCCTAAAACCACAATACGCAATAAAGTTTGAAACGTAATTTTTGGTTTTAAGAGACAGTTTTAAGTTATTACCATTTAAAACAAACAAAGAAGAACCCCACACGCACATCTACCTATAATTCCTTTTCTACAGCAAGCCAAATCCACATCTTCAAACCCTTAATTCCAAGGAGCTAAAGAATCATGTCTAAGAAAATATTTTACCCACAGCATACCTGCGTGAGAGCTTTGATTCCAGAGATAAGAGTTTTAATTAATATTTAACTTGAGCACGAACCCAAAATTGGATACGGGCCCAAACCAGAAGTAAGTAAACGTAAAGTGTCAGCTTCCAAATTTGTTATATTGGGAGGATTCATCCTTTATTTGTTGCTGATTTTGCTTGGATTTTTTCAATACTGCCACTAACAAGGGAAGAATACTCACTGTCAGATCTATGGGCCTGAATGTGTGAAAAAAATGAAAATGTCCATTAGGCATTCAGTAAATCAGGATTCAGAATACTGAAAGAAAGCCCTTAAATCTTCCTCTATTTTCTGTGTTACTTGCAGTTAAATTATTTCACAACAAAGCTGATTTGGAAGGGATGATGATGGTGTACTTCACTTAAATCAGGCTTCCCAAGTCTTAAAAAAAAAAAATTAAAAAAAAAATCTACAAAATATGCTTTATTTTCACCCTTTCCAAAAAAGATCTATTCAAATTGTGTTTACTTAGTAACTTTCATCCATAGGAATTCCAGAATATTTGGCAAGTTCCCCACAAAAAATCCACTTCAGAGGAAGACAAAGAAACCAGCAATAGATTGCACAGACGACATTATTTAGCAAAATAGTGTCTTAGGTGAAAAAGTCCGCTTTAACATTATTTCATTTTCCCAAAATTCTTTGTATGAAGAATGTCTGAAATAATGAAAACTTTGTTTTAAACATATATATTTTAAATGTTAAAAACTTTAACAAGCAACTGGATTGTAATTGAATTTTGTAATATTTCAGGAGATGAAAAAATCCAAAACAGGAAGTAGATCAGAAACAGGCCTGCCAATTTTATGAACAGCCAGTGAGCCCCTTCTTCCCCTGAGCCGCTTCTTCGCCCAAGTTATTTATTTGCCCTGTGTTGGTGTGTCACGAGGTACACAGGAGAAATATGCAGAGCACCGCTGACTCTCTAAGTATATTACCTGTACCTCAACTATTTCTCACTTATACACCAAATGAAAACTAAACATCTGTGACTAAAAAGTCCACATTCTTCTCAGTCAGTCTGACTCTATACATTTTTATAGACATAACTATCTGTACTTCAAGCATTTAACATTATTTCTATGTATTTTACTTGTAAATTTCCCCATGGAGTTTCAAAAGTGCCTTACTTCAGATGTATGCCATGCAGATGTTAGCTGACACTTACCCTTTCAAGCTCCTCAATCCTCTTCTCCAAAGTGTTACTTGCTACAGAACTGCCAGAAGAATTTGCATCCCTGCTGTATCTGCTGTAAGTTGTCCTGTCCGTTCGGGAGTATCTATTTGGAGCATCGTCTTCTGGTGCATTAGTTGTGCTACAAAGGCAAAGAACAAAGCAGACACCTATTTATACATTTAACAAAAAGACATGATAGCAGTAGCAAGAAGTGCTTTCCAAAGCAGTGCATAGGTCAGTCTGATAAACTGCAGAGAACTTATTTCACAGCTTGTGTTGCTGAGAACTCACTAAATACACTGCCTCAGGGACTCAAATACTTGGATAACGCAGCTCTCGTCACACAGGTAACCAACTTTAAACATATACTTCTACTGACCCTAACTTATTTTTAAAGATTTTAGTTTTATGAACTGTGAGCATTAAAAACCAAGCTAAACAATTTTATTTTAAAAAGTAAAGTACCACTATGGAGTTTAAACCAAGCATCTTTTTAAGAAGATTAAAATATAAAGGAAGAAAAACCATAACATGTCCAAAACATAAGAGGCTTACACATATCAACTGCCTTTTCAGGAACTATGGATATAGCCTGTAAGGAACTGGAAAGCAAATCAGAGTGAGAAAGTGATGCAGGCTAACATGTTAATTTTATGCCATTTCCACATATTTTACTTCAGAATTTGGATACACAGCAGTTTGCCATACCTCAGTTGGCAGGCACTCACTCATTAACTGGTGGCATGGTTTTTGTTTTATATCATGTGTCTGTTCCTTAAAAATCACTGCCATGGAATCTCAACAGATAAGCATTGCAAACGCACATAGGCTAGTTTTTAAAAAGCTTATGGGTTCTCCACTATGACTGCTATGTACAAAAACAGTGATAATTTAAAAATACATACAAAAGTCATGCATTTTCAAAGTCACACATTTAGCAGTGTTCTTCCCATAGCTATTTTCTTCCTAATAGCTATGTTATTTACCTCCAGTGTAGAATCTAATGAATAATTAAGAGCAGCAGAACAGAGTGCCCTGAGACCAGGCAGAGAGATACAGATCTTTCTCTCTTCAATTCACCAAAACCACACTTCTTAGACTTTGAAAATATACAGCTAAACAGCCAAAGACAAAAAAACCCACCCTTGTTCAGTCTTCACGAGGAGAACTTTGAGACTTTCTAAAGCCATCTGGACACGGTCCTGGGCAACCAGCTCCGGGTGGCCCCACTTGAGCAGGGGGCTTGGAGCAGGTCAGGTGCCCTTCAGAGGTCCCTTCCAACCTCAACCAGTCTGCCACTCTGTGAAATCACACAGCTGAAATATGTATCTAATGGTTTTCTAGAGCACTTAGGAAAATAATGAAAAACACTAAGAGTATCCCTACAACCTTTCCTTTCAAACATACAAGAGTGTATGATTAATGTGTTCATTTAACAGTTTTGCATTTCATAACTCTAGAAAACCCCTGCTGACAATGTGCAAATCTGGATGGATGCACTGCAAATCAAAAGCAGGAGTAGCTGGCAAAAGCATGTCTTTTCATAGATATAAATATTTTTTTGCTCCAGTATGTGTGAAGTTTCCAAGGCACACTGACACAATTGTAAGGAATTTTGTAGCTTAATCTTATTACCATATTTAGCACTGTTTATTCTTCATCTGGAAGATTTTTTTTAAACACATTTCTAGGACCAGATATGCATGTTGCAACACAACATAAGAGAAATATTTTAGCTTAACTCTATAAATTCTAGACTATTTAGCTTTCTGAAAGACGTGTTGGTTTGTGGTGTCAATGTCACAAGGACAGACCACACAAAAAAGGCTCAATTTTTCATCACTCAGGAATGAGCCCTTTTGCCAACACTGGAGTATCTCAGCTCAGCTCCAATGAGTGATCTTGGCAGATGCTCCTACAGGAAAGTTAGAAGAAAGAATACCTGGATAGGAAGAGTTTCATTAATACTGAAAATGAAGACATTTTCTGTATCTTCCCTGAAACTCACCCTCAAAAATTTCCTCACCTATTCCACTGGGGAGCAGACCCTACTGAACACATTCCCTTTCAGTTATCAGCAAGTACAAAGGATGTATCATGAAGACTTCTAGGGAATAGCATTTAAAAAAAACACATTTAAGAAGGCATAACACAAGGAATGTGACACACATAGTTCATTATTTTGGCGGTTACAGCCAATGCCCAGTACACAGCAACAGCAAAAAAGGAACCACCCAAGAAACAGTACACATACCTTTTGCAAAAAATGGAATTTTAGTCACCACTTTGCAAGCCTTAAATAAGAAAGGAAACTTACCTGGAACAACAGTATCACTGAACCTCGTGTCTATGCTTTACTATGAGAAAGCACCTATCAACCAGCCCCAGCAAAGATACCTCTTTGGAAATAAGCCTGTATATTTATATATATAAAATCTATTTTATATTTATAAATATGTAACAACAACAATCATCTGTCCAAACTGAAGAGCTTTCTATACCACTAAGAAAACAAAATGGGTTTACGTCTTCTTTTGTAGGAGCGAGGGAGAAGTGTATGCATGAAACAGCAGAACCCATTTAGTTTGAGACTGCAAGTGAAACCTTGCTTCCTCCGCTTCCTAACTAAATAAAAGTTTACAGATACTTGCAATTTGGAAGTTACTGAAGGTATGAAAGAAAAGAAAGCCTACTGTCAGCAGATGTACACTGGGTAAAAGCGGTCATTGGCATCAGCTGAAAAATGATAGGGGTTTGCAGGCTGAAGAAATTTAGTCACTGCTCAAGAATCCAGTTCAAACTATTCCACTTTTTAGCATTCAAGTAACTTACGCACATGATTGTTCCCACACTTGCAGTTGAAACATCTAGCCACAGGCTATGGCTGCAGGAAACAGTATTTTTAAAATTATTTTTCAAGAAGAGTATCTGAGATTGCATTCATAGCCATACACACATTAGAGTGCCCACTTGGAGCGCAGCACATAAGAAGGCATCTGGATGGAAACATCCCTCACTACTGCTTCAAAAGGGCATGTTCGACAAGGTCTTTAACAAAATTCAACTTGTTCCACTAGCCTACCTTCAATTAGCCACTATCAGAATCTCATTTTAAATGTGTATTCCTGTACTAGAATGCTGAAAACAGAAAACACTTTCACAACTTAAGATGATATGCTTTTGAAAATTTTTTATGGCTGTACTTAGATAAAAGTCATACAGCAAAATCAACCCACATCACAGTTTGACTATTCTTGCACAGAAACAAAAGGTTTGTTGCAGAATGTGTTCTAGTCATCTCCTTTAAAACAAAATCAGTTATTCACACAGGGGCAGGTTTAACAGCACTATTACAGAAAGATGGAATAAATGCCTCTTTTGTTCTCTCAAAGTCTTCATGAAGCACTGTCCAAATTACAGCTTCACTCAATTAAAATCTCCCACTCAAAACCGGACTTCATCGATTTCAACTATAACACATTTATTTTTATTGCTAGAATCTTGTAACTATACTTGATTTGGAAAATCCTAATTAATAATGTCACTGCAAACCAGTCAGCTGCTAACAGCTCCCTTGGAAGAATGAGCAAAAGATGGCATTTCCAAATAGGCCACCTCGGACTTCTGACTTCGGTCTCCTTAAGCAGTGGTCATGGCTTTTGGAGCTGAGGTAAGGAAAGGCACTCTTGTCTTCTCTACAGCCGCCTGTCCCTAGCCTCCTCCACTTTTCCTGGCTTTGGCCTTCAGGTGACTGAGGAGGAGACCCTTCAAATGAGCTGACACAGCAACCCAGCAGCCCGGCAAAAGGAAGCCATCGACCTTCAGCCCCAGTGGCTCCCTGAAGCATTGCCCTGCCCAGCTGCACCAGCACCGGCACAAAAGACAGCGAGGAACTGCAGTCGCCTTAACTTAAGACCACCAAAAACTTCTGCAGCAATAAACCCTAAGTGCTTCCGCCTTGTCATAACATCAGCGTTGTCTGAAACAGCAATACAAAAGTCAAGAAAAGCACCTTAAGTGAGCCCTGTGTTTTTTAAGTATTGATACCTGCACAGCAGTGGTCCTAACGCAACAACCTAGATGAGACAGTGCCTCAACAGCCAACCCTCCCTGCAAAACTCCCAAACACAGGCAAGGATGCAAGTCTGGGCACAGTGTTGTGTTCTGCAGATGTATTTTTCTGAATTAGTGAGGCCAAGGTTAGTATGATGGAATGTAAATTGTTATAGTTCAAGCTTTGTAGTAATCTGAAAACACTGAGGATGAGAATCTCATCAGGGCTTTAACATTTCCTTCACAGCACTTCCAGTGAGTGCTCTGAAGCACTAGCTTCCTCTTTTCTTGTGATCTCTTCCTCCTCATTTATTTCTCAACTCTTGCATGAATGTCAAACTAGTCAATACAGGTCTCTGCCTGTTGGGTTCCATATTAGGGTGCTGTACTATCCTAAAATAGGGGGGGAAAAACCCTCTGATATTTTGGCTGGAAGCCATAAAGCCATACCATATTGTATTCCTTTCCACTAATATACAATCTTATAAGGGAAACACACCCCTGAACCACTAAGAGATTTTAATCTAACTCTTTCTGTAAACTGATCCTGTCTGATCTGTCTGATTCATGAACCATGCAAAAATCTTCTGAGTTATTTCCATCTGCAAGGTTTTCTTTTCAACTTAAGACATCTCTAAAAAGGAAGCTAAATTGGTTCAAAAGCTAGTACATAGTCTTAAAAATAAACTGCTAAAACAAATTCTCTCTACTTATAAAAATATTCCTATATCCGCACACATATCCTGCTTTACTGTTACTTGCAAACAAACTTTTTAGTTCACAGAATTCAAGACACATAATTCATGTTTACATGTACATTACACTCAAATATTTGAATAAACAGAATACACTTCGTCATTTTCATGTTCAAGAAATCAGTGATTACACTAACTACATTGACAGTATCAGACCTGAATCAGAAAATCATTCTTACTAGTGGCAAGGTGTTTGTTGCTTTAAAACAACTACTCACAGAGCAGAGCAAAAACTGGTAGACCTAGTTAATAGTAACAGAAGTTTGGAATGGCCAAGATGAGGCCTATCAATTCAAGAAGAGCTTATGGAGAAACGAAAGGTAAGAAAGTT